CCCCGAGCAGCCGGGAGGCGGCTGCGAGCAGCTCCTGGCGGCACCGGCGTCTCGGAGCCCCGGTGCTGGCGAAGGAGCCTCCCTCTAGCCCCCGCCGGGGCAGGGGGAGCGGACACACACGGGCCAAAGCGCGGGGGTGGGGGCCCGGAGACGCACACACTAATATATATATGCACACACACACACACACACACGGGCTGAATCAAGGCAGGAGGGGATGGGTGGGATATAGGGAGGCAGGAGGGACACACATATACACACACACACACGGGGCAAAGCCAGGTAAGAGGGGATGGGTGGGATGCAGAAGGGACACACACGTGCGCGCGGGCCAATGCAAGGCAGGAGGGGATGGGTAGGATGAGGGAGGCAGGGGACACACACACACACACACACACACACACACACACACACGGGCCAAAGCCGGGCCGGGGGAGGCGGGGAGGGGACCTGGTACCTTGGATGTGCTGCTTGATGACATTCTCCAAGTGGTCCAGCCTTTCTATAATCCTTAAAGTGTCCCCTTTGTCCTCCTCCAACTTTTTCTCCGCCATCGGCTCCTGCACTTTCACGTAGACGCTGGCAATGTAGTTGGTGACCCAGCCCACGTAGAGCAGGCAGATGATGTTAGTCATGCCGCTCAGGATCACGCAAGTGGACACTAAAGTTTTCGTCTTCCTGGTGCAAACCATCCTGAGATCCCTCCATATAGCTCCGCGCAGGTCCGGGGAGCCAGGAAACCAGCGAGAAGAATTTAAAAAAAAAATGAAGGCAAAAAAAGAAGAAAAAGAAAAGAAAGAAAGAAACCCTGCCCCCCACCCCCCGCCACCTTCCCCAAAACGGAGCGCTCCAGTCAGTCCGTTCCCATGCGGGCAGGTCTCTCGTCCACGGAGTTAAAAAAGGAGATCTCTCGCCTACCTAGAAGGGGAGGTGGTGGTGGAGGGGAGGGAAAGGGGGTATTTAAGATCCTGGCGGGTTAAAAGAGCTGCAGGAAACTTTGCAGCAGCAAATGCCCAGTCAGTTGCCCGCCCGGCCGCTGGCTCCCGCAGCCGCCCGCTGCCCCAGGCATGAAGGACCCGGCGCCCAAGTCGCGCAAACTTTCTTCTCTCCGCCGCCGCTGCCCATTGCCATCAGCCACGGCTCGGGAATCAGATCTTGGAAGCGGCTTGCCGGCGAGTGGGGCTCGCCCGGCCTCAGATTGACAAAGCCTCCCTCCAATAAAGAGCCGGCGCTGGCAGAGAGTTTGTTCATATCGCCATATGACCAACGGGGACCTAGAAGGGGCGGAGCCACCTGCTCCACTCCCTGCCTCCCGCTGCCTGAGACAGGCGCGCGCACAGGGCCGAGGGGCTCGGCTCCTCTCCCTCCCTCTGCTGCGTGGAGAACTGCCAGGCTGCTTTGGAGTTTCTTCCTTCCTCCAACAAGAAAAGATAAAGAGAAAAAAAAACCCAAAACAACCCAAGCTGCTTCCCAGCTTCCAACTTTTAAAGCATTGGGCGCCTCAGAAAGTTTGTCACTGTCTGGCTCCGTGGGGCCAGTGAGGTGTTTCATAGATGTCAGGGGCTGGAAGGGACCTCACAGATCCTCCGGTCCAGCCCCCCTGCACCTGGGCAGGAAAGACTGCTGGGATCAGATGACCCCAGCAAGATGGTCTTCATTCACTTTCTGGAGACAAAAGGCATGTCTATACATTCCTTAACACGCAGTAGTTACTGGTTATTAAAGGTGCACGCACGCAAAGCAGTCAGGCACTTTTCGGCGCTGCATCGCATCCCCTTGTATATAAACAGCGAAATGCGCTGAGAAAGTGGTAGCTGCACACTTTTGAACTAAAACACAGTGAAGGGATTTTAGTTTCAAGGCACGCCACCACCACTTAGCACATTTCACCATTTATACAAATGTACGCGATGCAGCACCGGGCACAACAGTTCACATGCTCCTCAGACTCAACTAATCAAATCTGCTCCGACGCACTGGATTTCCGGAGCACTGGAGCAGACAAACCTATGCGTATAAATGCCCTTAGTTTAGTGCTTGCTTAATGAAGCACCAACTAAATGTACAGTAATTACAGTTACTTCGCAGTAGCGCCTGCATATGGGTTTTTTTAGTGATGCTTGCTGCACAGTAGCCTAATAACATTGTACAGTAGAGTGTTAGCATGGTTTCTGACCAGCACACTACCACGCATATTACAGTGTTATTAGGCTACTGCGCAGTAAGCATATCATGTAGATGCACCCAAAGCAACCCAAGCCACTGAGTGGTTTTACTGTATTCTTAACATACCCACTCCTCTAGAAACACATTGATTTGTTTGCTGGGGTGAAGCCAAAGAAATTCCCTCTGCTCCTCTAAACTATTGGTTTCCTGGCTCCAGCTATTCAATAATTTCCCAGCCTGAGAATATATTTCCCCCGTCTCTCCTCAGAGTATTTCTGTGCTTTCCATTAACCTCTGACTGGGGCCTGTAGCTTGTAACTGGAGTCCCACAGGCAAACCCTGCAACTGCAAGGAGACTTGCCAACTTGAACAGGACTGTGTGAAGGCAGAAGCATGCACCTGCCCCAGACTAGCAGCTACAGCAGAACTGAGTACTTACCTCAGTTCAGAGCCTCCAAGAAGGGGAAGCAGCCTGAGACTTTATCCTGCAAGACATATCCTTACTGGAGTAGTTCTTTCTCACACCATTAGTTCATTGACTTCAACAAACTCAGTGCCCAAATAAAAGCTAACCGTGTATGGCCATTGGTGTCTGGGCATACATTTTGATTCTGGGGCTACGATTTATTCTATTCATTATCACCATGGAATACTTACATTTTATTTAGTGATAAATACATTTGATTGCTTTTGTGCTTGGCAGAAATGAGTGAGGAGAGATTTGATAACTCTGCTGAGAACTGTTTCAGAGGAGGAAACTGCCTCAAAAATAAGTATGGCGAGGTGCTTGGGTCAGATCCCATGGGCCTGGTTTTATGCAATATTCTAGAGGCTTCCATATTTCTAAATATATTGCAACATTGCCATATATATATTTGTGCCCTTCCCCAAATTCCTTTGTCACCCAAAAGAGTTTCATAAAAATATATAAAAGGTAGAAGAGGCCAAATTCCCCTCCATGTATTTTTATTGATTCATCAGGGATGAATTTGCCCCATTAGTGTTAAACAGGGACACTTAAGCAGCCAGTTTTTGCTGAATCATTTTCTTCGTACACGCAAGTACAAAATTAAAGCTTAGCAAGACTCAGGTTAGAAATAGAGAGCTAAGTATTAGTTAACATGCTAAGATTCCAATAAAATTCAGATTGTCAACCAACAAAAGTATGAAATTGCAGATGTTCTGGGTCATGTTTTAATCTCAGGTGAGCAGCAAACAGTGTATAGAAAAGAAATCCACTATTGTGCTTTATTAGTCATGCACCACACATCTAAGATTAGGGTTATCCTGTTTCTACTGCAGAAAGCACAGTAGATAACAGTATTCGCAGTTCCAAGACTCAAGAGAAAGAAGCTTTGAACCCTGAACTATCCTGCTCTGGTTAGTACTTGTTCTAGTTTTCCAGCACTATTAAAGATGTTTGTCTTGATTTCATTTTTTAGCCATAACTATTTAGAATGTGGTTTGGTGTTCAAAGTGTGGGGGAGAGAGCAACCTTGAGTACAGCCCAAGAGAGATTTCTTTTCTCCTATCAGTATGCATACCTAACCCTCCTCAGAGCCAATAGCAACTAAGTATACTTATAGGTTAAGTACAGCCAGCCAAAAAGCCCAAGGCTAAATCAGTCCAATCTTCACAGGTTAGTCTAAGCTATGTAGATTGAACCAATAAGTGAACAGATATTCACTTTTGATTCTGGAAATGCAGCCTGCCGTGGCCCAGGCTAGAAGCTTGGGGATGCTAGACCATGCCTCTCCGCTTTGCTGGAGCAGAAAGCTTGGGCCAAGGCTGGCCTGCCCACCCTGTGGAGGGGGGGAGAGTTTGTGGGGAAGGTACAAAGCATCCTGGGATGCTGGGAGACTGTGAGTTAACTTGAATCTGGAAGGGATCTGGGAGAGAATGTCAATAAACCGATTTAACCTAAATCGGTTAAGCCTGATACTCATCCAACCAGGTTTATCTTAAAGTGGTTTTGGCCATTTTGAAAGTGGTTTATGCGCGCTGAACTTCTGTTGTGTTATAGATTTGAACTGGTTTCCAATCAGTTATACCGGTTAATGTGTAAGTTCTATCCCTAGCCATAAAAAGAGCTACCAAGTAATATTCCAAATAGGTACTCAGCAAACTGCATTGTCCCTGATGGCTCAAAACTTCTGTAGCAAAGACTGGCTGCTATTCAGGGAAAATTATTTATAATTTTTCTGTAGTACTGTGAAGTAAATAAATGCCCATTGGAGACTAGAATATGACCAATTTCATTAGGAAGTGCAAGAATTTTATTCATGAACTAGTTATAAGTGGAATTTAATAATGTGTGACTACAGACCCTCTTGCTGCCAAAACTGCACTTCGCACCAGCCACATCTACATGAGAGGCAGACTGTGCAGTAGTTACTGCATAGTGTTTTAGCACTTGAATAAGCAATACTAAATGACGGCGCAGTAATTGGCGTTAGTGTGCAGTACCATTGCCACAGTTTTTTCCAACACTACTCTGCAATAGCGTTACGTCCCAGTTACTGCCCGGCAACACAGTAGCAATGAGCTACTGTGCAGTAACACCTCATGTAGACATGACCACCTACTCAGACCTACTCACCTGGCCTTCTTCCTCAAATCCATTGCTGCTCCCTGTGAAGCCAATGTTAAAACTCCCAATGACTTCAGTTGAGGAAATCCCACATGTGCTATAATGCATCCAGATATTCAGAAAATGCCTGCTTTTATATCTAGGTGATCATGGTTGTGGTGTTCTTTTAGAAAGTCCTTTGCTCCATTAACCATTTTCCTTTTTTTCTATGAAGCTGCAGACTTTTGTTGGGTAGAGTGTTGGAAACCGATAGTGATTATTTTTGTTACTTATATTTATTTGTAGCACAGAGACACTAGCCAAGTTCAAGACTCCAGTGAAAGAGATATGTGCAAACACATAGCAAATACTTGTCCCAAAGAGACTGCAATCTAAGTAGGCAAAACAGAAAAGTGCAGGAGCAATGGAAGAAAGAAAACAATCTTATCTTCAATATTAAAAGCTAGAGAATAAAGACAGATTAGGTGAAAGGATTAAAGGTGGAATTTTCAAAAACAGTTAAAGTATATAGGAGCACACGTCCATTGATTTTCATTTAGATGCTTTTGAAAATGAATACATTTGATTAAATTGGAGGTAGAGGTAGAATGACCTATAGTATGGGTCAGTAGATTAGAGTCAAGTTCTATTTTCAGCACTGACACTGATTTTCCAGGTGACTTTGGGTAGTCATTTCACTTCTCTGTGCCTCTTTTCTTTTATGATAAGGTCATGGTACAAACACACAGGAAGAAAGATTCCCTGCCTTAATAAGCCTTGATATTAATTGGGGCCTCTAGGTGCTAATGTAATAAGAGACAAACCACTGCTGATTAAATATAATCTCATGTCCTTGCAAACATATCTACCACTTCTCTCTCTCATGTCCTGAAGAAATTCCATTAACATTTGACATCCATTACTACCAATTCAAGCCTGGCCTTGGGGATAGTGGGGAGGCAAAAGAGGACAGAATCTAAGAAATGTTTCCATCTCCTCCTTATTTTTATTATTATTATTATAAATGGTGCACTTTGATACATGATAGATCACTTTTAGTAGCTACATAAATTGTCAAGCAAGCAATACTGACATATGCATTATCCAACACCACCTCTACAAAAATGGTTTTGGTTTGGTTTGAATACGAGTCAATGTAAAACTTAAAGAATCACTTTTTATCGTTACTTCTATTATATTCCATTCAGGTTCTTAGATGGAGTCCTATCAATTTTACACACATGCAGCTTTCATTATGATCAAGTTTAAATAGATTTTCTTCCATTTCCCTCCCCACCCAAATGACAATCATATCTTTTGTTTGAAAAGCTAATATAAATTTCCAAAGGCACTCAGCAAGTAACACAATATTTTATATTCTGGCAAGACAGGACCAAATAGAGATAGAAAATGAGTGAGAAATGCTGTAGAGTGAGACACACTATCCCATTTATCACAGTCTAAATTCAGTGAAACAGGATTATGAGAGATACT